GAGAAACAGAAGAAAAGTCGATCGAAATCAGTGACGATTTTTTCAATTGGGGAAAATAAACCATTGAATGGAAAATCATCATTATCATTATTATCTTCCATTTTAGTTTTTAGAATGAAAATTTATTTCTCATTGTTCATTTTTATTTTTATTTAAATATGAAGATATCTATAGAAAAAAACTATATAGTTAGACATTTAATTATCTCTTAGTCTTATTAATGACTTAATAGATCTGCGTAGGTTACTAATTGAGTTAGTCAATCGAGATATTGCAATGGTCAAATATCAAATGAAATCATGTCCATAAAATTTCTTAAACAATTATAAAGTACTCAGTTGCATTGATATCGTTTCATAAATTGAGATTATTTATTCATAAATTATCATAGAATTTCAGTGGCTACTGAAGTGAACTTATTTCAAACACATGTATTGATTCTAAATTCTCGTTTTAGAAACGGATTTCTGTATCTTGAAATAAAAGAAAAATGTTCTAATGATAAGTTACTTTTTCAAAATGATAAACATATGCATCAAAAGTTAATAATGATAATAGAATCAGAATTCCAATTTCAGTTGCTTTCGTAACACGACATAATTGTCCTTTAAATTCCGGTAAATAGACTGCATCGCATAATGGATTTTCACTAAACAAGAAATAAAGATTACTTTAAATTAAATTCGGTTTCATTTTTAAATTTCATACCGATAAATGTGGTATATTGGATGCTGCACAATTGTTAAATGGGTAATATTCATCATAATTTAATGGATGTTCATCAATTGGTTTTTTTTCACAAACATTTAATACTCTTCGTGTCTAAACAAAATAATACAAAAAAAAATTTATTTTTTTGTTCCCCTTCTAAAATAATTCAATCAAAATTATGTTTCATCTAACAAAGAATAAACTCAATTGTTTTCAAATAAATCAAAAAAACATGAAAAATTTCTATCAACAGATTTGAAATATCTTGAAAGCATTAAAGATATGTTTTCTTTCTTGTTTTTTTTGGTTTATTTTAAAACCTTTCAAAGTTGAAGTCAAGAAAGAATGAGAGTATTTGGTTTGAAAATGAAAGATTAATACTAAAACAGAAAATCTATTGAGTAACATCAGGTGTTGGTTCCAATTCCAATAAACGTTTGGTGAAGCTTGTTGCAGTTGTATAAACTTTTAATTTAAATGCTTGATTAACTGCAGATTTTAATTTTATAATTTTGTGCATTGATTGTAATTGTCAATGAGTAAAACAGGCAACTAATTCATATCAACGTTTTTCATCATCTTTCGCTAAATCTTCGTTTTTGTCATTGACATTTGTCAACTAACAATATATTCTTTACATATTTCAATTCATTGTTCATCTTGAAACTATTCGTTTTTTGTTAAACAATAAGCAATTTGAAGGCGTCCAACTAATTTTTCTAATTTTAATCCAAGTAGTAGATACAATAATTTTGGTCAATGTTCATTACGCCTTAATAATTAAAATAACTTTAAAATATTTATGAAGTAAACAAATAATTTATATATTTGAATAAAAACATACAAGATCAGGTGATAATTCAATTTCAGTATCACCTCAACTTACACCTTCAATTTTTATTGCATCATCAGTCCAATCTTCACCACTTCTTGCTATTTCATCAATATGAAGGTTTGCAGCAAGTTTTGCTGTTCTGTTTGATATTAAACCTGCTTTAATTCTTGTTGACTTCTTGGACATGGTGGTAAAATTAATTTAGCATGTAGATTTGTTTCAAGTAACTAAAAAAATATATTTTATTTTGAATTATGAAATTTAACACGAGATTAATATTGATTAAATGTATGTCTATCTTAATACTTCATATCTAACATATCAATTAAATAAAGAACAAGTAATAACATCTTTGTTGAAATCTCAGTCTACCGACCTATTTCTTTTTTTGACATAGAATATGAGAAGTCTTCTTACTTTTTTAAAATCTACATTCAAATGGATATCAATCAAAGCAGGAACACTAAATTAACTATGACATGGTAATTTCTTGTAATCTATTTTCAAAAAAATCTTATCTGTCAATATCAAAAGCAACATCGATAATTATCATAAACTTCTCTATCCAATAGTACCGGAAAATCTTTAGATAAAGGATATGCTAGACATAATTAAACATTCTTAGATATTATTTAAAATCTCAAAAAAATTGATATATTGGCACGAAATTCTATAACTAGGTTTCAGGACTTTCAGCTGAAAATATTAGAAAACTACAAATAAAATTTTCTATATTGTTTTGTTTTTTTCTCTAAAGACCTTCAGAAGAAGTATTAAGATGAGAATTTTTTTTGTTGTCAATAATAAATTACTTTGTCATCAAGTGATTCCAGTGTACAAGAAGCGCAACAAATTTAATAATTTTCTCTTAGAAAAAAGAAAAGAACAATCTAAAATCTTACTTTGATTTCATTGTCTAAGAAGTTTAATGCATTCTTCAACATCTCCTAATAGCATTGAAATCTGATCTTGTAAATAAATAAAAGTTAATTTTTCCCAACAATCTTTACCATCTAATTTTGGTCGAACTTCTATATGAAAACAAAAAAACAATATTTTCATTAACTTTTGTTCTATAAATAGGTAAATCAACTGTACAAATAAATCCATGATCACCATTAATAAGGGCATACTTTATCATTTGACCATATTGCTTTTTCTTATACTTGTTAATGAGCACTTTTGTTGAGCATCATATAAAATAATATCATAATTTTCACGAATTAATAAAAGACGTGTATCAACCTAAAAAATTAATGAAAAAATTTAAAAAAAGAAACAAATTTAAGCTTACAATATAATTTTTTTATCAAGAAAAATAAATTGATTTCGAGCAACCCATATAGCATTCAAATCAGACAAATGACACCCTTCAGGTTGACAAGTTGCAATAATTACAATAAATTCATATTTTACATATTAAAAATTGCGAATATATGATAAAAATTTTTCCATGTTATTGCTGATCTATCGAACAAAGAGAAACGAAATCAATGATGAACACATACTTGAATATTGTGTGTTCGTCTGCTTCGTGTGCTCACAAACGAACATGACACAGACAAGAATGAAAAACAGGCCTAGACAATAATGTTTTTTTCTTTTCTTCTCTCGTCCGTAAGTTATGCTTCATGTTGTCATTGATGATCAATGATAATATGACATAATGAGTGT